TGTTTCACAGCATACAACTTTGGCCATTACATCAAAATTATCAGAGGTTTTGATGTAGTTAGATCTGTAGGTGGTAAGTTTTCTTTAGAAATGAAAAAATCTGTTAACTGTTTGAATACAAAAACATCCCTTTGGCTTCTCAAAGTTGATAAACCAAGATAAAACCTATTTGGTAGGTAATTGTTAAATACCAATAAAAATAGCTTGAAAAATAATCAAGAGATATTTTAAAAAAAATTGGGACAACAATATTTATTATTTTAGATTTTAAGCTCGATTTCAAGTTCGAAGTTGAAAAAAAAAATTGTCCCACGGTTAAGTAATTAATCTCATTTATTATTTTTTTAAGAAGTTTGTCAGCTCCTTATAAAATTAAGTAAAGCTACATTTTTGAATAAAAGCCTGCCTTAGATATCAGACAACTTGATGTTTAATGAAAATTTCTGTTGTAGGCGAGGTTGTAGGTATAAGCCCAGCTTTATATTAGACTTTATCACCAAATAAAATATATTAAAAATTAAATTTACCTATTTGATTTAGGCTCAGATTTAGGTATAGAAATACCTCTCTTGGCTTAAATAAAATAGAAAATTGGTTTGACTCATTAAAACTTAGTCTGAATGTTGACAAAACCAACTAGCTACATAGCTTTCTTCCTAACAATGGCAATTCCTCCCAATTTTAATAGCATAAGTAAATGGTTTTGAAGATAAAATAAAGGAGGTACAATGCACTAAATATTTCGAGAAATATTTGGGAGTTATAATTGTTCAGAACCTTCATTTAGATTAACTAACAATATTAGAAAATTGATTCATAAATCATAAGTTCTATATGATTAGGAAGATATTAAATAAACATCTTCTAATCTGTGTTTACAAGGCTCTTGTGGAATTTTTGCTAAAATATGCCATAATAGCAGCCAATTAATTTTGTAATTTTTTGTCAGGTGACACAAATCATCCAATCATTTCAACATTATACTGAAAATTGTTTTCACTCTATGACATTGCCTCGAACATTGCTGTCAAAAAATGTTCTATCCAAATAACCCTCAAACATTGATAAATACTCAAAAATTTTATAACAACTTTCTCAAGCTTGTTGCTTATAGAAAACAGACCTCTGCCTACGACTTCAGTCTGTTTCAAGGCAACAAGCTTTCGAAGTCTCTTATAATTTTTTTTCGGACAATTATCAATATCCTTGGTTTATTACTACTGAAAATACGTTAAAACTTTGAAAACAATCCAAATCTATTCTCAAAATTATCTCTAGAAAAAGTAAATGTCAAATTTTGATATCTATGAGCTTTGTTTAATGTTTTATCACCAATAAACTACCTTCAAACGATAAAGAACCAGATTGGAATCTTTTTTTCTACTAAAATAAATGACAGGCTTTGGCAGTTCCGTAATTTTTTTTCAATTTTTGAACTCATAATTTATATAGGTACCTACAAGTTAAAAATCATGAAATATTGAAAACTGAAAAATATGAGTAAGGTAAAGTACCCAGTTGTTGACAGGGTCCCAAAAGTTGACACATTAGCATATTATTCCTGAAAATAAGAATTTATATAGGTTATAAGCTAACTGAAATAGCTTATAGTATTGTTGGAGCCATTTTTCAGACTATAGCTGATGTATGGATTTGAAATGACAAGTTTTTTCAAAATTGTGGCAAGAAGTAGTGAACAGGTGCAAATGTTTGAATTTTTTCCCAGATTTCTAGTGAAAATAGTTAAGAAGATATAAAAACAAAAGTTCTCAAAGCTAAGATAGGGTTGATAAATTATGAATAATATATATTTACTGTATAATAAGATACATTGTAATACATATTTATTATTGTTTCATCTCTTAAACAACTGGCATAAACTTTTTAAGGGGGGGTGTCAACTATTGAAGCCCAAATCGAGGGATGATCCAAATGTTGACACTAGTGTCAACTTATGGATTTCTGGCGGTAAAAATATTTTAACATTGTAGTCTGTCTCTTTTTATTGCTCTGGATTAAAAAGAAACCTAGATATGGGTTTGGGGAATGTAACGGTCGTAGATCCAATAGATGACACCCCTGTTACCCCTGTCAATGTTTGGAGCTTTGGAGTGTCAACAATTGGTGCTTTCAGGTTTAAATCAAGAGATGACGTATGAAAAATGGAAATTGCTGAAATATGCACCAGAACTACCAGAAGACATGATTGCTGCGTTGGATGATTGCGATAGGGGGCTTACTGCAGCTACATCAGCAAAAAAACACAATGTTCCAATGCTTTCCAAGCAATTTCTTTTATTACCAATTTGGAATTGAAATTTGTATTTTTTTCCCAACAAAAAGTTGCCCAATGTTATTTTTTATTAATAAAAAGTTTGATTCTTACATTATTTATGTTTCTACCAGGGTTTCTACTGATACAGGCAACATGTCAACTATTGGTGTCAAGAGTGTCAACATGTACTTAAAAAAAATTAAAATAATTGGTTATTATGTGCATATATTTCATTTAAAAAATTGTACACTTAGAAAAATATACTTCTTAGTTCCACAGACCATGATAAAATTTCTTAAAAGTAAAAATTTGGTTTTGTAAAAAAATATATGTCAACCTTTGGATCAAAAATGTGTCAACTTTTGGCGAAGTGAACTTTTTTAGGTGTCAACTATTGGGGTTTTGTCACCTTTCAGGTATTTTTGGCATAATAACACAAATAATAGGAATATAGGGTAAATAATATATCTACACATTTAATTATGAGTTTGAAATCACGCCAAAAAATATATCCAAGCCTTGGGATTAAAAATTTGGAAAATATGTGGTGATCATAAGCAAGGATACCCTTAACATGTCAACAACTGGGTACTTTACGAGGGGGAAACCACCTACCTAATTTTGTACACCAAAAATTCTAAAATTCTGAAAAATGCTAATTTTCATGTTATTATTGTCCCAAAAAATTCTAAAAATTCTAATTCTAAAAAATCCCAACAAATTGGGCAGGCTCTTGAGCGTGCACAATAGATAAAAATTCTAAATTATTTCTAAAAAACTCTAGTTCAATTCTAAAAAATACTGAATAATTCTAGAAATTGCTAAAAAATACTAGAAAATGCAAAAAAATACTGATAATTCTGAAAAATTCTAAAAATTCTATCAGTTTGTACAGGGTGAAATGGAACACCCTGTATATTGTGCGCTTATTTGTTAGTCCCCTTGCCAGTTCCAGCACCATACTAGATAATATGATTTCAACGATATACGGTTTGATATGTTTATCTCTCTGTTTATCTTCAATAGTTATAGGGAAAAACGCGAAAATCCCTTGCTAGTTCTCTCATGTTATTTTTTCAAAAATAATAATAATAACTGGATTTATTATAATATAATATTTCACCTTGTATATTAATGAATAAAATTTGAACAATGAACTGTTCATAAAAAAAATTCTCTAAAGCTTAAATGGTATAATTTTTCTTTTTTCAATATGAAACCTTGAAAGGAGTTTTCATGTTTTTCCTTATAGATATCGAAGATTGACATCAAATCGTATATTGCACAATATGTAGGGTGTTCCATTTAAAAAAATATAACTTCACACTGCTACACTTTTTTGACACACCCTGTGTCTAAAACTGACTTAGTTAAAAACTTTCGACAATTTATTGAAACTTTTGTATTTGACAGTTTTGCCAAAATGTCAAATGAAAAAGTTAGAAGGGGGTGACATTTATAATAGATCACCCAGTACACCAAAATTCTAAGAAGGTTTCCCGCTCGGGGGAACCCACCTACCTATTTTTTTACACCAAAAATAATAATTCTTAAATTTTGAAATATGCTAATTCTCGAAAAATTCTAAAAATTCAAAAAAAATTCCAAAAATCCCAACAGATTGCGCAGTGCTCTTAAACATACGCAATAGGTGAAAATTCTAAATTATTTCTAAAAAATTCTAATTCAATTCTAAACAATACTAAAAAATTCTAAATAATTCTAGAAAATGCTAGAAAATACTAAAAAATGCTAAAAAATACTGATAATTCTAAAAAATTCTAAGAAATTCTAAAAAATTCTATCAGTTTGTACACCAAAATTCTAAGGTGGTTTCCCCCTCGGTACTTTACCTTACTTCCGTTTGGCAGGGGTTTGACAGATGTCAAGAAAGTTGACATTATTGGATTTACCTTGGTAGACTCCATAAAAATCGATATTTACTTCATCAAAATCTGCCAAATTTGGTCTGCTTCTGAATATTAGTATCCAATATTTGACAGCTGATACCGCCTCACCTGTCATATATACAAGATTGCACCATGATAAAAAATGTTGCTTACAGCATCCCCACTAACGTCATATTCAAATTTCATCCAAATATCACGGGTAATCAATTCCCCGAGCAATTCCCATTTAAATATTGGAGGGTCGTTTCGAGGGAAATTTGCAAATTCCAAATAGTGCAACAAATTTAAATCTTAGATCTATTGACTTGGTGTAAAAATATTCAATGTTTTACCAGTGTCAGTAAGAGTGACAATTACCAAAAGAGTTTTTAACCAAAGTTTAGGTCCTTTCTCAGGTCCTTCATAGCTAATAACTTCAATAAGTTTGCAACTTAATTTGTTCTGACATGTTGCTGGGAATATTGAATTTATGCAGGTATTTTTCTATACTTTTTTTTCCTTCTTTCATTTGAAATTGTTTGGTTTTTCATACACTTGGTTTATCGGGTACCTATTGTTCGCTACATTGTGTGTAAATGACAAGTAGCACAGACTGGGATCTTATTTTGATTGTATTTGGTTTGTTGGATTCTATTGTTATTCTTGTTGGTACATTCAGAAATAAGGTTTTCTAGGTACCTACAGGAATACATCATACTGGCATAGTATTTGAAACTATTTGTAACAATAAATATTGTTTTCCTCATTATTTTGTGATATATTGGTGAGGTAAACTAATTAATACAATAAATGGGGTTAGGTAGGCATGCACTTACCTCTTGACTGAGTTCCATGTTGTCAGAGGGTGAGCTTGTCGGTGTGAGATCATCTTGAAGAATTTCCTCTGTAGCATTATGAGCAAGATTCTGAGCAGCAGGTGGTATTAAATCATCAGGATTGGGAGCTGCAACAGCACTTCGTTCGATGTTTAGTAGATAGGTATGTACCTCAGGGTGTCTGAAACCGCCTCTATTATATCTTCCCAGAGAATTCAAATCATCAAATAATTCTCGTTCGTAATTGAGTAAAACTGCGTCTAGGCTCTTTGGATTAACATAGTGACTTCTAAGTACTGTAGGTGTAATTGAACTTCGCCATGTAGTGCCATTGTTATAATCAAGATCGTCGGCACCATCAAGCATATCATAATCAAATAGTGAATCTTGATTTACCCTGAGTAAACTGATAATAAGAGCAAGCTGGAGCAGCTCATCCCTGTAGCCTTTTTTGAGGCACAACATTGTTTATGTTTGCACAACACAACACAACACTGTCCTACCCTACCTAACCTACAATCCTAGGAAACCAATAATGAACTGGAACTGATCTTATAACTTCTTGGTTGTTTTTAAAGGGTGCAACCGTCTAATTTTTTGTTTATTGGTGCACATTTTTTTCTCTAAAGCGTTTTCATCTTATAGAGTCTCTCTTTTCTTTAGATGTAAACAAAAAGTGAATCAGCTGATGTGATGTTTAAATAGGATGACAGGTAGAAAACCGGCTTCAGTTTTTGGTTATCTTTTTGTAGTTTCGGAAAAAAACTGTACACAAAAAACACTGCACTGCACTAAAATACGTTTTGATTAGATAGTCGGAGATCATAAAACACTGTTCTGATAAGTATTATTATTAGCTTTGTTCGGGTTTGAAAAATCGGTTCAAAACAATCGCACAGTTTAATATTGAAGTTTATGATACCCGAGCCGTTGTCATTTTTGTTGATTGATAAACTGTGCGATTGTTTTGAACCGTTCTAGAACCGCCTTTTTTTCGAACCCGAACAGAGCTATTATTTGAATGTGCACCTCGGATTCTCGCATCGGATAGGGATCAAATAAAAAGCATCGCATATCGCAAGGAAACAAACAGAACGCACAAACACATACGAAACAGCCGATTGTTGATTGGACGACGAAGGCTCATGAGTCGCAGACCGTTTCACTAACATGAAATGCGCATACTGACGTGTTTAACTGGCAAACAAAAACGTTTTTCGTGGATTCAATCCGATTTAAATAAATTTTGTTGAAATTGAACATTGGACAAAGGTGTGCGTTGTTTTTAAGATTATTATTTTTAGATTTTAGCAAAATTTAATGGTTTAATTGCAGTAGGTACCTACTAAGATAAAGTAACTAGGTATACCTAGGCATGTATAGTGTACCTATTTAGAAGGAAACTGAATAAAAATGAAGTAACCTTCTCTGAAACTAAGTACCCACTTAAAAACGTTAGAAAATAATAATATATAATTTTGCGAAAACGCGAAATAATTTAATAGATTGCCGATTCTAATGTAATTTCAGATTTTATAAATTCAAAATGACGTAGCCTACTATATCTATTGACCTGACAGTATGTAATTATAAACGTTCCTCTGAATAAAAAAATGCAATATACATACATGCGAGAATCTGATACCCCAAAAATAGAGACGTGACAGCGACGCAAAAAGGATTTGTGCAAAACCATAGTTGATCCCTTGGTTTTATTATTTAGGTTGTATGATTCACTGTTTATGACCCGACCCATTGTTACTTCGGTAACATTGAAAGGGCTCTTCAAAAAAGAGTTAGGTTTTAGACTAGGTAGTTTTAGTGATTTTCGACAGGGACTTGCATTTTGTACAGCATGTTGAACGCATCGTCGTCCTGATATTTTTGTGAATTTGAAATAAACTATTTTTATTGTTGAAAGTCTAGCGTTTTCTTACATCAGAAGTGGGATAAATTCACCACAAGTTTACTAGTGCCGAAAATTAAATTGCCAAGCGCGAGTTTTGTGATTATGGAGCAATTAGCGAAAGTGCTAGCCGCGACGCTCTAGAAAATAAAAGAAGTTTTTCCAAATTCGGATCCTGTGTTGGCGACCGAAATTCCTAGTGACATCTTTATGAAGCAAGCAAGCGAAGTGCCGCCACTTTTTCTGGAGGAGGCCAAGGGATGGTTTTCTATGTAAAAGCCTGTGGAAAAATCATGGGGTGCGAGTTTTCCAGCCTTGTTCTACTAGACGGAATTGAAAAGTAAAGCTTTTCAAGTCACTATACCATTAAACCGAAATCCTTCTGTGAGTAGGTATGCTTGAAAAAAAAATATGTTTTTCCATTTATTTATTTCGATCCTTTGATTGACAGAATATTAGAAATTGTTTTTAGAATTCGCTAATATTCACGTAAAAACTACAGCGTTCAGTAGTAATTAGGAACATTGGTTCACTCAGTGATTTATTTATCAATGATATTAGAATTGAGAAATGTCTGAGTTAAAAAAAAGAACACAAAATTTCCTTGATTTTATGGGGGAATTTCGAAAAGAGTAATTTTCAAATTTTATTATTTTGTTAGATGCCAACTTATTGTAAATTAAAATTAACTTTTTGATAGAGACTTGAGCAAATTTTGAACTACTTTAGAAACTTCTGGAAAAAAATAAGATGTCATTTAGACTCAGTTTTATTAACGTTAAAAGGCATGGGGAATGGTTTAGTCTGGAAATTAAAGATAAACATTTGCGTAATCCATTCCAGGATTTCAGGAAATCAATTTTTGTTGAATAGATTGATTTGTTTACTGCAATATTATGATAGAATGTTCGATCCTTTGGATCTAGAATTTGATGTTCGGGATTTTGACAAACCTCCCATTTATCTTGCTAATAGTTAGTCGATTAGCCCCATTAAGATTTTTCAGTTTTCACGACGAATGTGAAGTTGGTAATTAAAAAAAAAACCGTTTTTTTTTTTATTACCAATTTTTGTTTTGAAATTTGTGAAAATGTAATGTGACCATTATTATCTCGAATGTATTGTAAACAAAGACAACATGGGTCCCATGACTCATGAAGGGTTTATTGCATCTTATCGACAATGAGCCGATCCATTTTCAGGTATATAGTCTATGCGGACTGTGTAAAGCCTTTTCCAGTGACTATCAAAAGTTCTTGTTATTTTTTTACATTTGAAAAAGTTTACAGCTTTTGATTAACTTATTTACAGAGTTTATATTTTCCTTGCATGTGAGACTTTTGCTGCACATGAAAGATGTGAGCTTTTAAACTAAAAAATTGAAAGTTAGGACGTTTTGCGTCTTATTCTGTGTTGAAAGCTCGTATATTTTGCATGATTATATTAGCGGAGGTGAACCATTGACTGTACTGTGTCTTGATACGAATGGTTCTTGGATAAGTTTATCCAGTTCAGCGGAAAATTGGTTTAGTCGACGCTGTGCCACGTTTAGATCAACGATGTTGATTTTAGATAGTTTAAGAGATTTCAACCTGGCAATTGAAGATTCACTGGCAGTTATTTCCAGCAGTCATAGGTAATTTCCACTGGATGGCTTTTATAGGTGACGTTTCTGTATTTTCAGCTAGATGCCTAGCATGAATTCTGGAGTTTGTCACAAAGGCATTGTATGTTGGTTGGAGCTTGAGCACTGTGTTGATATTGATTGTTTTTGTCACACTGTTTTTGCCATCATATCTGACAATGATTGGAAGGGATGATGATAATGTTATGTCAGTAGTTTGTGTCTAGTTCTTGCATATTTTAGTCACTAGCGAGAAAGATTGTGTATATTAAGACATTCAAAGCTTGCACGCTTTGTGTGTTGTTCTGTGTTGAAAGCTTCTACACTTTGCATGAATTATGAAAACGTTGAAAGCTCGGACGCTTTACGTTGTAGCTCTATGTTGAAAGCTTGTACGCTTTGCATGAAGTATGGAAACGTTGAAAGCTTGCACGCTTTGCGTATTGTTGTTTGTGTTGAAAGCTTATACGCTTTGCATGAAGTACGAAACCATTAAAAGCTGGATGGTGTGTGTTGTATGATACTTTGAGTTTTACGATGATATATACTCTAATTTCTGCGATGATGTACTTTGAGTTCTACGATGATATATACTCTGATTTCTACGATGATATATTTTGAGTTCTACGATGATAGATACTCTGATTTCTGCGATGATATACTTTGAGTTCTACGATGATATATACTCTAATTTCTACGATGATATATTTTGAGTTCTACGATGATATATATTCTGATTTCTACGATGATATACTATGAGTTCTACGATGATATATACTCTGATTTCTACGATGATATACTTTGAGTTCTACGATGATATATACTCTGATTTCTACGATGATATACTTTGAGTTCTACGATGATATATACTCTAATTTCTACGATGATATACTTTGAGTTCTACGATGATATATATTCTGATTTCTACGATGATATACTTTGAGTTCTACGATGATATATATTCCGATTTCTACTATGATAGACTTGGATTTCTATGATGATATTTTTCGTTTTCTAAGATGATATAATTTGATTATTACGATGATTTACTTTGATTTCTATGATGATATGATTTTTAGTTACTGCGTTGATATGATTTGAATTCTGCGTATTTTCATTATCTCTGGTTGTGTCGTTCACGGTCGGCCTCGTAGTCGGCTCACAGCTCCATATTTGCTTAATGACAAAACAAAACCGGAGCTGTTGCCTTTTTTTTCTGTTTCAGATTTTGGCCGTTCTCCTGTTAATTCGAGAACGAATTATGTGTCAGGTTGGCCGTGCGAGAATCTGATACCCCAAAAATAGAGACGTGACAGCGACGCAAAAAGGATTTGTGCAAAACCATAGTTGATCCCTTGGTTTTATTATTTAGGTTGTATGATTCACTGTTTATGACCCGACCCATTGTTACTTCGGTAACATTGAAAGGGCTCTTCAAAAAAGAGTTAGGTTTTAGACTAGGTAGTTTTAGTGATTTTCGACAGGGACTTGCATTTTGTACAGCATGTTGAACGCATCGTCGTCCTGATATTTTTGTGAATTTGAAATAAACTATTTTTATTGTTGAAAGTCTAGCGTTTTCTTACATACATATTATTACATTGAATGAAAAATCCGGTGTCTGCGATACTACAAAAGTATTAAGTATATTCTACGCAGTGTTTACATTAAAAAGAAAGGATTTACTTAGGTATTTCCTATTGTTTCGAAATGCAGTGCCAGTATCTAGGTACTTCGTTGGCGCGTTAACGAGATTTGTTTACAAGTTTACATTGGATTTATTGTGTTGCTGACTGTTGCTTTATCCCAAGAAGCTTCATTCACTCCAATTATCTGTGTTTGTGTAATGATGGGAGACTCGAACAAAGTTGAACCGAGTCGAAAAGAGCAGTGGTATCTACGTGCGTGTTTTTCTACGAGGTGCGAAAATGTGCTACTTTCCGCACGCAAATCGTTGCGTGAAGACGCGTTTTTCACACGCTCATAGAAAAAATGGGCCTGATACGAGCATAAAGTATGTTTTCCGCACTTGCAGCTTGCACGAATTCCGCTGGCTCGTCGTTCGTGCAAATGCCGTTGCGTGCGGGAAAGTATAACTTTCCGCCCTTGTTACAGGTAAATAACTATATATCATTGTTCGAATGCAACTATACCTACATCTAATAACGTCTGTTTTACTTCTACACCAATGGACTGGAGCTGATTCAAGTCGACACTTGACCAAACATTCTGATACCATAGTAGATAACGAAATAAACAAAAAAATAGTAGATAACGTCCACAGTTGGCAGATTATGTGAATCGGCCTTTTGAAAACCTTCCTTCATTTTAGCCATAGTACCTTTTCTACCTCAATTTCGATAAACCCTATAACACAGAGATCGACATGAAGGAGATAACAGCAATATCAAAATACTTGTTAAACGTTGACCCACCGGCGTATACAAGGGGGGGGGGGGTAATGGGGGTAATTACCCCCCCCAAGATCGTTGCGATGGACGAAAAATATGTACCCTAAACCTTACAAAGAAATCTATTTTAACTTTTCAGCAACTGGCCCTAACTTGTTTTCTAGTTTGCACAGTGTCCGCATTGCCCGCATGCCATTTATAGCGAATTCTATTCAAAGGGATAGTGCACACTGAGTATATTCGTGTCTTTCTCTT